AAAACCTTGCCACACAAACCCAACACACAGATGCGATCCAAGTTCTGAACTTGGCGAGCCATAGATCCTGTGCAAAGGAGCTGTTGCATTTTAAGAAGTCCTGGGCCTGAAGTTTTTAGGGAATCCATGTTCAGTGTTGTGAAATTAAAAGTGAAAAGAACTTCAGCTTTTCTACATGAAACCCTGAATAAATGTTGCTAAAGATGAAAAAAAAAAAAGCTAAAAATACTTTAGGCCAAGCCTGAAATGGTTCAGAGAAGTTCAAGCCCTGTGTAGCGAGGTGTAAAGAACAAAAATCTGTTTAAAGGGGCTGTTTCACACCTTTGTAGTCAAGGGAATAACTCACATGGAAATATGGACAGGGATTTCCCCAACACCCAATAAGCCCTTCTCTTCCAAAATACACTTGGGGATGCATTACTTGGTCCATGACTTGAACACTGACCTGCAGTCCAGTATGAACAGGTCCTTGCAGCACATTTACTATGTGTATAAAGCACAAGTGTACATCACTGTTGTTTCCATGTTGCCATTGAATCTTTCCTTTTGCTTACTCTTCCCTAGACTCAAAGTTCCCTGGACGATGATTTGTCTCAAATTGTTAACTTCTCTTCTCCATGGCACAGGTCTGCCCAGGAGGCTGCGATCTACCAGCCTGCTGTGGAAGGGCAATACACAAGATGCTCTAGCTCTCCTAAAAGATGATGTCTTGGTTGCTGATCCAGGAACCAGGTCAGATATATTCACCTACGAGCTTTTGTTCTGGGTTTGTGTTCTCCAGTGATATTAGCCCCAGCAGCAGTCTCCATGGCCAATGGATAAAAGAAAGCCATTCCTAAAGGGAGCTTCAGCCATCTACCCATACACCTGTCTTAGGCTACTGTTGGAGGTGCCAGGGTTTTTTTAAATGTGTATAGAGCCTGAGTGACAAGCCTAGATGAGGCAAATTAAAACTGTTATAGTTAGGTCCAATGAGCCTTAAATTGTGAAATATGCAGTTTTTTGAAAGAGGAAAAGCATGTTAATTTAATCAGTTTAAATCATCATAGATTGCACTTAAAATCATGCTATGTCTGTAGTGATTTTCATGTCTTTATCTAAAGTTCTATTAATTTTTGTTATAATTTATATAGCTTGTTAAAAGTCTATTAAGTTAGTTGCAAACACTCAAAAATATGAACAGAATCCAGAGGATAAGAGGTGGGGGAAAGGATTCAGACTAACTGGGAAAAACTTTCTAAGTCTGCAAAATTTTTAGGGAATACAATTACATTCTGAAATAATTTGCCTAGGGTTGCTAAGGATTCACCATGACTTGAAGTCTGCAAGCTTAGAAGACTCAATGGCTTGATCCTGGCAACCTTGTATAGGTCTGTCCCATGTCATGAAGGAGGTTACAATAGATGTTCCTTAAAGGATTTTTAAGACTTTAATACCATCATCTTCTTTGGTATTTATATTATGTTCAACATTAAGATACATAAGGACACCCACTCATAGTCTCTCAACCCATTATTACTTGACAGCTAACAGATGATTCTTCCTAAAGGAAATTTCCATTCATTGATACAGAAATTTTAAAATATTTTTCTGAGTATGTTGAAATTCAGCTCCATTTCAGTTATAGAATTTTAGATCCAGAATGTATTTATTCTTTAAGTAGAAATATATATGCTCATCCTGCTTTTATTCAGCTAGGAGGGCTGGAAATGGTTGATGTGGTACTAAACTTACAATCTAAATAGGCCTCAGTGAGATGTGTGGCTTCACATAATTAAAAAACAAACAAACAAACAAACAAAAGCCACACCACTACCCCCCGCCCCCCCAAGGTTGAAAACATCATGAATTTTGAAAATGTGTTTGGAAAAAAGTTGCCCATTCATCTCTTCATGTCATTAAACTTCATTCAAGCATAAAGACTTAAATCACTTTATGCATATTAAAGACTGAAGGACTCAGGTGTCTTTAATGACTCAACATTGCTGGATGCTGCTTTGCAGACTTTTAAGTGCTTTTACCATCTTAAGGTAGCTCAGGCACTTAAGTGATTGTACCATGTTAAATCTCCAAAGAGGCTTACCTGGGATTTTTAGACCTTAAAGGTAAGCACCTGTAACTCTCAACTCTGCTCTTAAAAAGAATGGATATATTCTTCAATGAACAATTATAAACAATAAGTCAGGATATGCAAATATATAGGTTTTTGCATAAAGCTTTTTTTTTTTCAGTTTTCCATCTCCAGCTCTCTTTCTGTTCATAGTGGTTACATAGCTCTACTGATATTCCCATAAGAAATTTCTTCTTGGCTTAACACAAACCAAGGCAAGAACATTCCATTCTTCTCTGTCCTTCCTTCATCTCTCTCTTTAGCTTGTCATCTGATAAAATGAGAATTTTTTCCCCAGAGCAGAGACCTTGCCACTGTTTTTGCGTAGTCATACCCACACTGTATCACTGAGGTGAGGCTGATCCAGATACATTCCTCTTCCTTTTCAGATGCCACTACAGCAATTTGGCCTTCTCACTGATGGCACACGTGCTAGCCGACCATGCAGCTGAGGGGCAATACCAGCGCTGGATCTCAGAGAACATCCTGGACCGCTTGGGCATGGAGGACACTGGCTTCGACATCACACCACCAATCCGCTCCCAGATGGCTGTGGGTTTCTACGGCAGCCGGCAGCTGGCCCCTCTCTATGACCTCGGGTGGTACAGACCTTCTGGCCAGATGTACTCCACAGCTGCCGACCTTGCCAAGCTGGCAATGGTCTTCTTAGGCACCTACCACCGTCGTCTCCTAGAGCCTGACACAGTCAAGACAATGCTGACCCCTCTGTTTAAGTGCTCCACTGAATACTTTGCTAACAAGACCGGCACACCCTGGGAGATTAATGAGCAATTGGGATACGATGTCATTAGGAAGGATGGAGACCTTGACGGTTATTCAGCTACCTTCTCTCTTATCCCCAAGCTCCGCCTGAGCTTCATTGTGCTGATGGCAGGGCCCAGGCCTCAGGGTGAAGATATTGTGACTCAGACATATGAGTATCTTATTCCTGCCATGGAGACGGCATTCAGAGAGGCAGAGAAAAGCTTGATTCCTCCTCCAAGTCCAGGCCCTTATGTTGGCTACTACACCTATTCCAACCTGACTTTCTATGAGATTAAAGTTGGACCTGGTGGGGTGCTGGTCATGCAGCAGTTTGGGCCTCACGTGGAAGAGCTGATTCCTGAAAAGTACCGGACAATCAAGCTCCACCACCTGGAAGATCGCGTTTTCCAAGTTGTTTTTGACAAGGAGTTCCCATGTGTTCTGCACCTGGGCTCTGCCTCCATCTCACTGGAGACCCAAAATGGGCAGCTTTTTAACTTTTATCCATTCGATCGCAAGGGTTTGTCACCTGGCTTTGATGCACCAGGGCTGAACACATACAATGTGGTGCGTGTACTTCGTAAACCTGTATTCTATAGCTAAGTGTCTCGTGACTTTTCTGACCACTTCTGGGAGGTGGGTCCAAATCTGTGTCTTACCAGACTCTCCTGTCTGTGTGGCTTTATGGATTCCATTGAAAAGGGAAAGATAGTGGCAAATGACTTTTGTGCCCAACAAATATGTCATGTCCTACTTCTGAAATTACTTCAACGGCTTGCAGTCCCTGGCAGTGCATGACAGGACAGCTAGCAACTAGGGGTGGCTGCAGAAAAAAGAGGTGGGAATGTGCTGGATGGATGGTGTTTGAATGCCATGAAAAAATCCCAGCATTTAAGTCTCCACGCTTACATTGTCTGTTTGATGACTATTCTGGTTATTGACTGGTATCATCAAAGGGCTGAGAATTTCCTGTGTCTCTCAGAAAATATCTCTTCTTCAGTCCAGGGGTTTTTCCAGGGCTCTTCAGGAGCCCACCTACCATGAACAAGATTTCTCACCTGGGTTTGCCAAAAGCATTACGTGCTTTGTGATACCTGGGAAGTGAGGGTTCATTTCTTTCCTGGGTCACAGCAAGGAAACTGTGAAAAGAGCAAACAGCAATGTGGTTGTGTCTTGGCTCCATGGATTTCTGCACAAGCGGTGGTGACAAAGGATGTTGTAACAACTATATAAGCTGAAGCTTACTCCTGTGAGTAGGGCCATACAAGCATATACTGGTATATTGCAGCTGGACTCAGGTTTGTGACTATCTCAGTGTATAGGAAAGTGTGTAAGTGTGGTGTTGTTTAAGAACAGGAATGTGTGGGAATCTTTATGTGTGTTTTGGGCAGGGTGTGTGTATAGATATATACACACTGTGTTTATGCAGGGATGAGGGAGGATGCTAAGGGAAATGCATTAGTCCAGGGAGCACTACATTTAGGACAGGTGCACCTGCAAGCAATCTGCAAAGCCACGGGTGCATTTTCTTCTCCCTTCTTGTGCCCTCTCAATGCCGAGGCAGGCAGGACAGATGATATGTCATTAGTGGCCAACATCATATCACTGTGATGGGAACAGCATCAGGCAGGAGTGCAAGAGGGGAAATACCACCAACTGAGGAGTCTTGGCTCCTGCAATGCCCCTCCAAGTTTAGGAGAGTATTATGATTGCAGCCCTAACTGGGCAAACAGAGGGTTAGGGCAAGATAACTCTTACCTTAAAATGAATAGTATAGCCATAACTGGTATGAGGTTGGATACTCAACAGAGTTACCTCCTTTTGCTGCTTGTCCACACAGAATCTTGAAAGTGGACATGTCTCAGAGAGGGTGAGAAAATAAATCTCCCTGCCTCCCTTCTCTCTTGTTGTCTCTCGCTTTCACTCTGTGTGTGGTTCTTCAGCTTCAGTTTTGAGTAGAGAGACCATCACTGAAGGCCTAGAAATCTATGATTCACAAACTTGGTTCCCTGCCAATAACATAAAGCTTGCCTTACAAGCAGTGATGGTTGCTGCTGTATTGGTTTCCTCTGGACTTTGTAGGTGATTACATTTCATACCTTGTACAACCTTGTATGTTTAAGTATTTAATCTGAGGTATAGCAACAGCAATAAACTCTATGCAAATTCTTGCTGCTGTCATGTGTGATCATGCCGAGAGGTATGTGTGCAGGCAGATAGGTTGCACCATGGTTGATTTCCTGTTGAGGTGCCTACACTCTGTCAAGACATGCCTGACACAACAGTGCTCTTGGGCTTTGAGTTAACAAGATGTAACGTCTGGTTGCAAGATATTTGAGCGGTCAAACCCTGATCTTTTTGAGTGAGGACTAAGTGCCAGTTTGGGGCAGTTCTTGCTTTGGAACAAAAGAAGCGATTGTTTACCCATTAGCTACATTTAAAAGCTTCCGAGAAAAAATAGGATTTATATCCCATGTCACTCACTGGTCAGGATGAACCACCACACCGAACTGCCTCCATGTGTCTGATGGAGAGATTAAGAAGTTTTACTTTTCCAGCACTGATGCAGACATGACCAAGTCTTTCCTTTCCTAGTGAGTCACCCTCAAACCTGTACGCTGACACTTTTTGGTGCTCTTGTTCGTTCCCATAACAGCAAAGTACACCTTTTTGATATTCATGGTGTGAACCCACACATACGGTACAGCTCATCTCACCAAACCTTGGGTCACACTGGGAGGGTGAACAAGAGCTTCTTACACTGCCCACTGTGGGCAGAAGAGCACCCTTACCTGGTATGGAGAGGAGAAAAGAGACCTTGGGACACCTGTACAGAGGGTTTGGGAGAGGCTGGTGCGGCAGGCAGGTTAAGGTGGAGTTTTGGAGACTTATACACGGAGAGCAGCCAGAGTCACAATGCTGAGTCAATGCTACAAACACAAATGTCCAATTTTTTTTTAATGTTTTTATAATTACTCATCAGGGAACCAAACAAATAGAATATGCTTCATTAACATTCCCAGCATCAAAGAGATTCCCAGCATCAAGAGACAAGAACAAAATTTACTCATTGGTTCAGGAGGCCAAATTCTGCTCTAAGGAGCACTGGTGAAACCACATAATATTGTAATAGTGTTCCTGAAAACTGTATGAAGTCTACAAGTTAAAAGGCTCTGAGCCACTAAGAATGAGATTAATCTGGCAAAATATAAACAGCTACATCTGAGCTAGCCCCTTTAAACTCCTTTCTACTCAGTGACATTTAATGACTCTAGTCAGTAGAATGGATTTATCTCATCTTAATGCACATATTTAGAATAAGCTGATGAATCACACTCTATGAATCCCCAGCCTTCAGTTGGTTGAGATGGACCCAATCCTTGATATCACAAGCAGCTCTTCAGTTAGAAGTGAAACGCTTTCATAATCTGCATGCCAGGTAAGGGCAAGTTCCTAACCTGCTGCATCAACATTGCCCTGAAGACCTGAAGTTCACTGATTAGCAGGCCCAAAGCAGAACATGGTGATGTTTTTTGTGGTCCCATGCTAACATAACATTAGTTAAGGCAATTTTTTCCCTTTCAGAAGAACTCTACCTTCAGCAATATTAGGTCAAGCGAGGATGATACCAAGCTTCAAGCTGCAATCTACATTTTGAAAACAGCAGTTTATGCCTACATGCTTCATTTCTTCATACTTCTCCTTAACCAGAGCAATGTGGCCCAGTTGTTTACTGGACAGCACAGAGCTTTTCTGTTTCGATGACAGGAGTAAGATGATGTGTCTATCTGCCTGCAACCACTACCAGAGCAGGACTCAGAAAACAAGGATGAAGTCAGGCTAGCAAGTACTGGGCCTTGGTGTCAGAGTCTGAAAATCTATTAAATACTAACTCCAGGGTCCCTGTTTTGCCCCTCAGAAATGTATTGATGTTCTTGTCACAAAGGGATGTGTTAAGCCCCTGTGATGTGAAGCACAAACTTTTTGACTTTGCAGTCCGCAGGAGCTTACAGGAGTTGTTTATAATAAAATGTCAGCATCCACACTTCAAGAGAGAGAGAAGAGATTAAGAAGGGTGCTGGGTCAAAGCCAGTCACTGTCTCCTTTTCACCCATGAAGTGAATACCAACAAATGTTTAAGTACTTCATGGTTAGCAGGGAAGCTTCAGTATATATTGCTATTAGGTGCGATTCTCACTCTAGATAAGGTCATGTATGCTTCAAAATGCAAAGGCTAGAAGCCTGTTTTCAAGTTTAATCCTTTCTTGTCCATTCACGTCTGCCTTTATAAAGAGCCTGACATCTCATGACTTGGTTTACAGAGCTGCAGATCAGCAGTCGCAAAGAAAATAGATGCCAGAAAATCTCTAACCCTGTCTCCAGAGAAGTGGGACAATCTTCATTTACATTTAATAGGCATTTGTGCAGCCCAGATGAGCATGAGCTGTTGGCTTGTTGTGACAACAGCTCTCTGTAGGGCTCAACCTTGCAGACATAACAGTAGTACATCACCAGCAAGGACAACCCCTACTTTAGTTCACCAGGTAAAATCCCATGTTTGCATGAAAGAACTCTTAGTTTCAGGCCTGTCTTATTTTTGGGATCCTGATCTGACAGAGGAGGTGACACTCTATGGGCAGTTTCTCTATGGCCTTGCGTTGAATCCCAGGGGAGGGGGAACCTGCACACCCAGCTCAGCAGCATTCCAGATCTCGGCATTAGCTATTGAAATGAGAGGAGAAGAGGCTTTAGATGACGGCATTGATGTCAGAACTCAATATGAAGATCCTTAGCAGGATGTGGACACCCTGGAAGACTATGTGCAGCAGGTCTGCCCAGTGGACACCAGAGCTCCACAGCAACCTCTCTGCCTAAAACACCACCCAGCATGTCATGAACATCACTACCATGACACATGCAGACAAGAGGAATCAGGGAATGAGAGCGAGACAAATTGTTAAACAAAAACAGAGCTCAGAAGCTGAGAGAACTGGCTAAGAAACACTGTTAACAGTGTCCCTCTGGACTGCCAGGGACCCTGGGCAAAAAAGCTGCATGCTGTTAGGTGAGGGATTGCTCCAGTGGGACATGCTGAAGTGTGGCTCAAACCATCTGATGCTATTTAATCAGGCATTTGGCTTGGTGAATATAATGACTGAAAAGTGTAACAAATTGGCCACAAAAGACTATTACCCATCAGGGACAGGAAAGCTTGGAGGAGGAGGGAGCAAAACAAAGGACTCCACATTCCCTAGAAAGAAAGATCTGCTATCCTGATGCTAGCATCAGGTCTCAATATAGGGATAAAGGAAGACAGGTCTCAGGGTCTTCGGGTTTGAAGTAAAAGTGCAAAATGAGCAAAGAGACCAAAGAAAGGCTGTGCTTTTTGCTTCCAGTGGCACTTTTCCATGTGTCACTACAGTACGGATGAGGTAGTATGGCAAGAGCCAAGCCCTAGTCCTCTGAAAGCAGTGAAGGGCTGCCTAGATTCGGGCTCGGTACGATTCATCCTGGTTTGGGTGTCCTTAGGGAACTGAGGGAAAGTGTTTCAGGTCACTGTGAGCCTGACAGTCAATGCTTCTAGGTAATATGAACCAAGCATT